ACCCCGGGGTCTCCCAGGAGGCGGCCTGGCCGACCTGGGTGGGCGCCCAGCCCTGGCCCTTGCCAACAGACTTTGGCCACGTCACTGCCCCGTCTGAGCCTGTTTCCTCCCCTGCACCTCTGGCACCAGCTGGCTGGAAGCATCCGACAGGCAGCAAAGGCGGTGTTGGGGTGCTCATAACACCCCCTCCCAGGCCCAGCCCTCCTGGCCCCGCACCGTCCACTCACCCAGATGCGCAAGGGATTCAAAGTTAGCAACCAGAAATATCTCATTTTTATACAATTGTGAAGTCTCAGAAATAGACACACACACAATCCCATTAACCATTGCAACAAAAAATTAAGGTATTTAGAACCTCTTGGTGGCAGGGAAGGGCTGCTCCCAGCACCATGAGGGAGACGGGCCCAGCGTGCACACGGCCACCCCCTGGGGTGCCGCTGCTTAAAGAGGCGCCCAGAACTGGCCCTCCCCTCCCGGCTCCCATTGGCCCAGTCCCTGCTTCCTTGGCACAGGCTGAGTGGACACAGAATTCTCCCAGGCCAGGCTGCTGGCCTCCGAGTGACCTGCCCAGCCGAGAGCCCCAGGGGTCCCTGGATGCAGAAAAGCCGGCCAGTGTCGCCTCGACCCGCCCACCGGCCCTACCCAGTGCCCCTGCCCCCGGCCATGGCTCCCTCCCTGGAAAGACCCCACTTAGGGGGTCCCTTTGGTCTGGGGGGGGGAGGTGACCAATCCCATCTGCCCATAAAGACCCTGTGCTCTGCGTCCTGGAGCCGATTGCCCCGCTGGCCAAGCCCATCGGACACCGAGGGGAGTGCTGGCCGGGGTCTGGTGTGGACGGGTGTCCAGGCAGGTCAGTGAGCTCATGGGGACCCGAGCTGGGTGGGGGCAGCCTTTCTCCCGCTGGGGTGCCCACCGGCAGGTCCCGGGCAGAGCACGCCCCCTAGAAGCGTTCCGCCGGTTTCCAGGATGAGAGACTGAGCTGGAGATGGAGCGGGGCCAGGCCACATGTCCAGATAGCGCTCTGACCCGCGGCCGCCAGGAACCGGGCCTCCATCGGCAGGAACCAGCCCCGGAAGCGGCGCTCCAGGGGACCTGCAGGAAGTCAGGCCTCCGTCTCCAGGGGCAATGCCCTGGGTGATGGGTCACTGGCGGGGCTTCCCGAGTTCTGTCCCCTCCTCCAGCTCAGGACCCACCAGGGACAGCCAAATGTGCTCCCCAAACTGTCACACAGGACACCCCAGCCCCTCAGGGCACCCCTTTTGTTTCTGTATTTTAACCTATCCACCTGTATAATGTAAGTGTACATATATTACACACATGTTATTGTATGTACATAGTAACAACATACATACAGGCAGTAATACTACAGAGCGCCCTCCCTCTCCTGCCTGCCCTGGAGGCGACTCCCGGCCGCAGCAGCTGGGATCTGGGTGGCAGGGAGCAGGGCAGAGTGGGCAGAGCTGAACCAGCACAGGCCAGGCCTCCGGGTGGGGGGTGGGGGGCCGGGAGCTGAGCGGCCCAGGCCAGGCTCCCTCCCTAAGGCACTGCCTGTGCTGCTCAGGGGGCAGGGCTGGGCAACGCCCTTCCTGACCACGCCCGGCCCTGGAGGCAGCTCCTGGGAGGAGGGCTCAATCCCGGGCTCGCGGCGAGGCCCCTGGAAGGGACCACTCGGCGCTCCCTCTGCAGACTGACAGCAGGGTGTTCGGTGGAGCAACTGGCCGGGTGGGCGAGGTGCTCAGGGCTGCGCTGGGTCTGTGGACGCTGGGCCTCCACCCGCTTCCCCGGCCCGGCCCGGCCCTGCCTGCGGGCTGTGTCCCGCTCCCAGCTGGGCCTGGCGCCCAGACCGCGGCCTCAGGGACTTTCCCGGCTCCCTCTCACGAGGCGGGGCGTGGCCTCCTGGGGGCGTGGCCTCCCGCGGGCGGGGCGGGGCCCAGCTCAGGAATGCGGCTGTTGTCAGCGCTCCCCGGCGGCGGGCGGCGCCTGCACAGGAATTCACGTTCATGAGCTTTGGGCGCCAGCACCCCCGGGTGAAGCAGGCGGAGCAGGGCCATCCGGGCCCTCGGGGCTCCCAGCACCCCGCGGCGCTGCAGTGCCCCCATTTGCCCGCTAGGCAGGCACCCCGGAACCTCGGGGGGACTATGTGGATGCTGTGAGGCTGATCCGAGTGGGATCGTTCACCTTTTTCTACCGATAACACGGGATCGTGCCTCCCCTTCAGCCGGGGATCCTGAAGGCAGGGCCTTCCTCCGGGCTGTGCTGGGTCACCCGCTGACCTGTCTGCCCTGAGGCGGGGCCCAGTGCCCCCCGGAGCCAGACAGCGGCTGGGCCTGGAGGAACCAGGACAGGACACTGGCCCCAGGGCCTCTTAGCCGCCTCTTGGGACACGGGGCCGGCATGGCGATGCGGGCATCTCCATATGGCACTCACAAGACTGGGCGCTCACATGCCTGGGCAGCGGCGGCGGGGGCTCCTGGGAAGCCAGAGGGCGCTGCCCTGCCTGGCGGTTGTCTGTCAAGCTGAGTGTATGTGTATGTGTGGCCGAGGTGGGGAGAGACAGGGTCCCCAGACTTCAGAGACCAGCTACCCGGGCCCTGCTGTGCAGATGGAGAAACTGAGTCATGGGGTAAGCCTCTGAGGCTGGCACCAGGCATGGAGCTGTGTCCTGGGCACAGGCCTACCGCACTGTGGGCAGCCTGGTGGGATAGGGAAGCCGCCTCCCGGCCAGAGGATGGCCCCTTGAGAAGGGGGTATTGCCTCCTGTTCCTGGATCCCTGCCAGCGTTGAGGTTGGCCCTGCCAGCGTGCTCACAGCACTGGGTGCCTCTAGGCCCCGAGCCAGCGGGGTGGGTGCAGAGCGAGCCTGTCTTCCCCGGGTGGGCGGGCAGATGGCAGGCCGGGATTCCGGAACGGGGAGCAGGGGCTGCCACTCTATTCTTAGCTCCTCCAGGAACCCAAATTTTTCCACTGCCTGGCAACCCTTGGATTTCGTTCCTGGAAGCTCTTGGTGCTCGGGGGCAGCCCGGGCCCTGCGGGGGAGACAGCCTCCCCACGACCCCGTTCCTCTCCTCCCACCATGCCGGCTCCTGAGCTCCGGCACCCGCGTCATCTCCCTGACCAGCCTGAGCCCTGGCGAGCCCTCACTGCCCGTGGGTCACCCGAGAGGCTCATCCCAGGCGGGAGTCGTGGGCGCAGCGCCGTTACCACGGAGATGAGGAGCAGGGCACGAGCTGGGCAGCACACTGAGGGGACTATGACGTCACACACACACACACTCACACACACACACACACACACACACAAATACGCACCGAGGTTGCATCGGGTGAATATGGCCGCTCTCATAATTAGAACGAGAGAGAAGACAGAGCGAAGAGGACCCACACATCTCCCGAGTGGCTCAGGCCCCAGCTCAGCGAGCAAGGGAAGAGCCGGAGCTGGGCCTCCAGGGCACAGACAGGGAGATGGGCCGGGGTAGGGGCTGGTGGGTCAGGGAGCCAGGCCAGGGCTTGGCCCAGTGTCCCCAGGATCTGGGAGCAGGCAGACACGCTGTGCCCAGGCCCGGCCCGGCCACGTCCTCCACGCACCCACCCTCCTGGGTTAGGGATAGAGCAGGTGCAAGGCACAGAGAGGTGGGCAAAGGACTTGGGCAAACAGGAAACACCTACGGGAGGGGGTGGGCAGCGCCGCCTCGGGCCTGCCCCGTGCAGGGGGTCCTCCCAGCGCCAGCGCAGTCCAAGGCCGGCACTGTGTCCTGGGAATGGGCTGGGAGCACCCCCCTCCCCCCTGCGGCTGGCCAAGCCCGGCAGTGGGAGGACAGGAAGGGTGGAGGCGCCTCGCCAGGAAGCCCGGCTTTCGCTTCCACCTGCACCCAGGGCTGGCAGCGACCTCTGCCCTCGCCTCCCCAGCTGCACAGGAGCAGGGCAGGGGCGAGTTCCTGAGGGCCTGGCACCTCCAACACCCTTGGGGCAGAGCCTGGCCGCCCAGCCGGGGGAGCAG